AATATCTTTCTTACTTCTTGCCAAACAAAAGAATCCATTTTTAAATATATTGCAATCGGAGCAACCATTTCGCTGAAAATCAAACAAATAATTAAACGTATAACACGAATAAAGAACAGATGTTTTACTCACATGTGAAAACTTACCTCAGTGAGATAATTGGGACTGAGCAAGAACTTTCCGCTGACCTGGAACAAAATACTCATAACGCCCACAGTGTAGTTTTTTTGCATCCATATCGCAAAAAGCTACCACCTTTAAACGGTTTTCACTATTTAACGATCTGAAAAATTAATTTCCCCGTAAATCTTTAATCAAAAGTTAGAAACCTAAAAAGAAGAATGCCGTCATAACATATTTTCATGCCTTCGGTAACTTAGCATATCGTAGCAACATATAAGTTTAAAAAATAAACGGAAAGTAATCACCTGTAAAACTTTTTCCCAACTTTACCAACACTCCAAACCATAAATTTTTTCCACTTCGAAAGAACCAGTTCCTCAAACATTACTTTACGTATCTTCCATATCATTTCTTTCGTGTAGAGACGCACATTTTGGATGATAACGACAAATTACCAAAGATTCCTCAATCTGTAAAAGATAATTTAAAAAATGGTTTCGAGTCGCATCTGTATTAAGTTCTAAGCAGTAATGGAAACTATATTTTAAAACATATTAGAAATCTAATACCTTCATAAAATCTGCCCCAATTTTTAAAGCATCATAGAAAAAATGCAAATCTTCCGGATAACCCACTGGCTCTGCTTCATGAAAACCTCCAACCTTATTAAAGAGCTTTTTCGACATACACCAAATTGGAGCAATTACTGAGGGACCATAAGAAGTAAAAATCTGTGAACATTTATGAACGTTTAATCTCAAAAATCTATGAAAACATAAAACAAAGTAATCACTGTGGATAAAGAGCTAAAAGACTTCATGACACAATGCAAACCGAAAAAATTTCTGCACTACTTATCATAACAAGTTACAAACTGACTAACTGAAACATGTTTATGTGAATTTTCTTTTTTCGAGAAGTAAATACGCAAATAAAAAATTCACCAATTCAAATTTAATTCAAACATACCACTATGAATATACTTCATCTAATCCATACTTGCTAGCCCACTTCAGAAAATAAAAGCACTGTGATATATACCTGGTCATAAATTTCTTTACTGTTGAGTGAATTAGCCCACTGAGCGTAACGTGATGTTGACCCAGCTGGTATGCGTTCGAATCTTGAACCAACAAGATCTCGGTGCATTAAGCAAAACATTATATAATGAGATAAAGCGGTGCTTTATCGAGATATCATCTGCATCGCAAAATATTAGAACAGATCCACCACACTGTTGCACACAGTTGTTTTTTGCGAAACCCACACCTGAAAATTGAGCAAAGATGTCGCCGAATCTCTCGAAACTTAAAGGAAACCGAAAAGAACTAATAAAAAGCAAAATTCAATAGAAATATCAAGAATGCCAAACAGATTACTAAGACAACAATTAAAACAAAATACCTCTGGAATGTGCGCTACTTCCAAGAATGACATTGATGTCTTTTTCCAAAAATTTCGATTTATAGAGTGTTATAATACTAGAAGTATTATCTGTACTGCCATCATCAAATAATGAAACCTAAAGTACTGAGACATTTTTTTGATCAATATCTTTTACATTTACTATTGCTTTAGTGAAGAAAAAACTCATCTCAATAACAAATTCTGGACAAATCAGCTGCTCAAGAAGTGAATCCAAACACATGGACAAATGTGCACTGCCATCTTTTACTGGAATTATTACACTCTAAAACTTATCTAGGTAAATATATAATTAATAATACTGAGAAATATCAAAAAACAAAAAAAAAAAAAAATTTCAGAAAAAAAGCGATAAATAGATAATGATTTATTCTGCATGCCATAATACTTATTATGGCATTGCATAACGTAGAGATTAAGATTTAACTCAACAGTTAAGTTATATAGAGGATAGAAAGTACTCAACTTGAGATGCAATTAGTTGCTGACAAGACGACAATTAATGAAAATTTCCTTTATTTACTGATCACTTCTTTACGATTCAAACAATTTCCATAGCTTTTGGTAAATAAGTTCCAAAAAATCATTAAAAGTTTCTTTTGCAAAACATAGGTACACTCAGACAATAGAAATGTATGTTTGTCATTGCATATATTGTATAAGAATCATTTTAATGCGTTTATATCATATCTTCAGAATTTATAAATAGGAAAATCATACTTACAATAACAACAGGGTTATTATTCATCAATGTATGTGTGTGTTAATTGGTAGAACAACTTATCACTAACAGCTACCCTTCTTCATCCAATAATAGTGATTGATTCACCGTCTAAATGAACTGAAAATGAGGAAACGATGAACATTCTGCGAAATTTGCAATGAATGAATAGTCCGCATGGCAGCAAAAAAACTAAACATGAAGAAATCGTAACCAATAATCCCGTGTAAAGATTGAAAAACAAAGTCTCAAGTATTTAAAATAGTCAATTAAATCCTTCGGACTCCAATTATTGAACTTTTTGCAAACAGACGCCTGGGAAAAAAGCCGCAACAAAACGTACGAACGTGACTTCTTACGCGCACTTTTAAAGTTAGGTAACCGTCATGCAGTCCGTTTTCTGGCAATATTGTCACCAGACAATTCTTCCTTTTCATTGTTTCATTCTCCAATTACTCTTCTATGACTCAAATAATTACTGTCTAATGATTCACCTAATCCCTTGTAGATAACATTTTTCATACATCAAACAACTAATAGTTATATTGAATATGGCAGATGCTCTTTTCTTTTTGAACGGTTCAAGAAACCGCTGATAACGGAATCTTGTGACAAATAATGAATTTTACCAAACTCTTTACTCAGTAGATCTGTCCATCCAAGTATATGAGACTACAACAAAAATACATAAAATTAGATTTTGTGATCATCAGCCAGAAACTTAAACTGTCTTTGGAGATTTAAAGAGCGATAATACTGTGCGTGGACATCACACAAATACATTTATCACATGCGTGGATGCAGTAACAGTAGCACAGATCGGAGCAAGCGCGAAAGTTACACAGGCAATACACATTATCCACATGTTGAAGCATGGATATCGATTTGTCGTTAAAAATTTATTTCAGTGGATCGAAGCTACTTATCCCAAATCAGTTTTTAGGAAAAAAAATAATCCTTTGTTGATAGGTAGGTGAAGAAAGGTTGTAGTCGAGAGTATCCGCGAAAAACGCTGAATATTTATTGAGCCATAATAGGCAAGGTAACTTCCCCGACCGGTGGTCCCCCCTTGAAAATAGCCGCGGGGTCAGCAGCATCTGCAGCTGCTTCCTTGAACTGAATGACAAATTTATCCTCTTTCGGTGGTCCGGCTGTACGGGTGATTTCCAATGGAGCTGTTGCCCCCGGCTCGACGAATCCATACACTGGTTTCAGACGGTAATCGTTATTGTTCGTCGACTTTACCTGCAAACGAATGAATTTTACTGGACTTCTTTTCCTGAATAAGTAAACCGTAGTGGGAAATGTCGGAAATTCCAAGTTACGCACCTTGAAAGCCAAGCGGACACCACTTGGATTAGCGATTTGGTGTACAGACTGTCCGCCTGCAGCAGGTACCTGAGCAGCTGGTGGGTCGATGTTCAACGTCGGTGGTCCAGCCGGAGGCGGAGCGGCTTCCGGCGGAGCTCCTCCATCTGCCGGTACGCCTGCTGCTAATGGTGCACCTTCTGCTGGTGGTGCTGCAGCCTCTGGTGGTGGTGCACCCTCTGCTGGAGCGTCACCCATTGTGTGCTAGGTTGTCTGCAAGATCGAAATTTGGAAATAGTTGCTCATCTTCAAGATAAGGGGAAGAAGATTAAGAAGTAACGGTTAAGAAGGTTCCCCCGCGGTAATCCCAGAGTATCTTAATCTTATCTCTTTACTACTCTTTCACTTCAATAAATGCCAACAAGAGTAAGTATCACACCACACCTCCTTTGTGCGCTTCGACTGAAGGAAAAACTGAATGTTGGAGTTGAAACTCGCTTTATATAACTGTCCCTGAATTGCCTCTAATTATGCAACTTCACCTATACTTCTATTGAATATTTTATGGAATATTTCAACCATATCTTTGCATAAGTAAATTTAAATAATTAGAATAATTGTGGGGCCGAATGTGCATTAGTCCCGTAAGTATCGATAAGTATTGGTGATGACAACTTAAAATTTCATAGAAGCGTACGTGAACCTTGTGAATCGTTAGAACCAGTGGTAGCTGTTACGGAAAACATGCTGCATGCAAATGATAGTCATATCTTTCTCGAATCTTGAAATACTTTCTCTGGTTCAGTACATATCCTTGAACAGTTTGCATATTAGCATGTCTCATCCTAACATGATAAAGACTCAATATGATAATCATAATTCCAGTGCGTTTCCCTTCATGTATGGCTTGTATGATACTAAATGTCTCTCAATTTGTGCAAAACCAACTTAACTTCATTGTTGTGTGAATTTGTTTTACTAACAAATTCAAATTTATTTAGTCCACAAATTATGGTACTTTGCTTAATTTGTAATTTTCCACATAAATTAGTTCGTGGAATGCAGCTCTTGCACCTCTTCTGCTCTACGTCCTGTCTTATTGGATAATTTCCCTCATGTTGATATACCTTCAATTTTCATAATAAGCCAGGGTCATACTATGCACATGTCGCGAGTTGGACGTGGACCACAGAAGTAACAGCAGAGGCATTAACTTTGCCGTCGAAACCTTATATAATAATCTTTATCTGTCGTACTTTATATCAGCTTGCAATGTCATAACTGATGAAATGGAGGAATGACGTGCAGTTAAATCAGACTTTACATTTGATGGGACTTAATTTCATATTTCCACTCCAATGTCAAGCTGCAGTGTGTACCGATCTTTATAGGTTCCTTGTTGAGTAAAAATTAACTGATTTACATGGACGACTACGAGAAGATCTCAGTAGTAGGACGTGGAGCTCATGGTGTCTGTTGGCTTTGTCAGCGTAAAGATGATATTTTTCGACAAAAAGTTATCATCAAAACAGTGGCATTAGAGGGCCTCGCGCCAGAGGAACAGAACGCTATCATGGGTTTGATTTTTTTGTCTGGAATTCTGATTTCACTGTAAGTGATGTCTTCCAAGAGGCAAACTTTCACTCAGTTTTCCTTATTTGGTTAGCACTTCCGAAATTCTTATTAATCCTTATCAATATTATTTGAAATTAGCTGGTGAGACATTTTACTTTTGAAGACATTGAGTTCAACGGACAGTATGCGTGATGGCTCCGTATTTTTAGCAATTTCAGGCATTGTGAAAGTATTTCAGGCGAAGTGACGCTATTGAAACGCCTTCATCATCCCCACATTATTGGATATTATGAGTCTTTCAAGGTTCTTGTCACTTGTTGTTTGCTAGGTTGATATCACTGAAGCTGTTTCCATTTTCCCCTGACAAGTCAGAAAAATATTTTTCAGCACATGTCAGTTTTAATGGTGTCTGAATGACCTTTAGGTGGTAATTTGACTAATTTTAAGACAGAAAACGCTTTTTCGATTGTTATGCAGTATGCTGAGGGTGGTACAATGGATAAAATGATTTCGGAACAAAAAGGAGTCAAATTTATTGAGAATATAGTGCTCAATTATTTCACACAAGTTGGTCTTTGCTGACAAATTAAGAATTATCAAAGAGTGAAATTGAAACGATACCATTTACATCGAAACCTCCGCAAACAAATTTTCAAATAGAATCGTGGGTATTTTTACTAATTAGGTGAACTATACTTCTTTTTCACAGTAAATAAATTTCAACATGCCTTGAACAGAATTTACAAGAAGCTTTAACTTCATCGTTTGTTTTCTCTAATTAGCAATTAATAATAGCAGTAATAATAATTAATAATAGCAATTAATAATAATTAATAATAATAATGGCAATGATAATAATATTAACGGTAGTGATAATAATGGTAATAATAATAGTAATAAGAATAGTAACATAGTAACAATAATAATAGTAATATAACGATAGCAGTGATAATAATAATATTAACGATAATAATGGTAAATAATGACAACAATCAACAACAACAACAATAATAATAATAATAATAATGACTATGATAATGGTAGTAATGGATGATAGTAATAGCAATAATGAATGATAATGAAATTACAGATGTGACGGCAATGTTATTTCCACACTCCTTTTACTGATTAATAAAAACATAAAGCTTCTTGAAATATTTGCAGGTTGCTATTGGACTTGAATATATGCATTCCAAGCAAATACTTCATAGAGATTTGAAAACGCAAAATATTTTGTTAAATAAGAAACGAACAATTGTTAAATTGAGTGATTTCGGAATTAGTAAAGAATTATCAACAAGAAGTTTAGCATCAACAATTATTGGCACACCGAATTATCTTTCTCCAGAAATCTGTGAAGGTAGTACTAGATTTCAGCATTTGTCGCCTTTTTGCTTTCTTTATGTTTATTCGTCCCATACTATTTTCTATACTTTTTTTACTCATTTTCTATTTCGCAACTCTACTTTGTAGCTGGACAGCAAATTAAATTCCTTAGAGTTCAGGCAGAGCGTACAATCAGAAAAGCGACTTATGGGCTTTGGGCTGTGTGTTATATGAACTTGCTGAATTAAAACGAGCATTTGATGGCGAAAATTTACCATCGATCGTCATGAAAATTACAAAAGTACATTTCATCCTCCGTAAATTTGTATTTCTTGTTTAAAAAAAGGTTCTTTATTTCTTATTCACGAACCGCATATGAGATTAAACACTTTGTGTTATACAAATTTTTTTGAAGGGATTTTCAGTATATAATATATATGTAATAAAATATATTTTTTTGAATATATATTTTACAAAGGTTAGATTTTTTAATTTTTAGGGAAAACATAATCCAATCTCTGAACACTGGAGTGATGGCTTGAAGAAGTTGGTTAATTCTATTCTGGATGTTAATGAGAACAAAAGGCCCCTTCTCAAAGGTTTGTATTAAAAACTAGCCGTTACAAGTATCATTTTGTTGTTCAAGGGGCTTTTCGAATGCAGTTTGCTAAAAAAAAAAATACTGGAGGAATATTTCTCTCACCCAAATCTGAACATTAAACTTTTCAGAAGTAAAAGCTCATTGATTTTTTTTTTTTAAATCCTCGGGTTTTTTAAAAAGTTCCAAATTTTAAAGTCTTTCAATGTTCCTTTGAACTTTTAATTTATAGAGATTCTCACATGCCCACTGATCTTACCGGTTTGTTTGGCAATTAATTTGGATCTGGGTGCGCTGCCTTCTTCACCACCGAAAAAAACTCGCCAGATTTCCTCTTCGAATAGTAGCATTTTACGCACACAGCCTATATCAGTCAAAGCTATGGCTTATTGATCAGTTGAAATTCGTGGGGCAGTTATGGGCAAGCACACTACAAATTGTCTTGGAAGACCGGTAACAAGCTGAATCTTACTTCTGTTTTGCATCAACGTGTGTAAATAAGACGTCGCATGTTGAACAATAAATTTTGTGATTAGGTAAATATACTTTTGAGTTGGATTTTTCTGATTTCAATTTTTCAGTTTACTCTTTGCTTCGTTCTGTTGGGAAAATTTTTTTTTTTTTATATTTATCCTTCAATGGTTTTGTTATATTACAATTTTATTATATGTTTTATTATATTAGAGACATTGGATTTCAAGAATGTTATGCTATAGCAAAGGAATTGCTTTTTCAAATCAGATTTTTCCTTGAGTTTTTGTCGCTGTTCTTCACGTTATTTAAGAAAAAAAAAAAATAAAATCTTAATTTGAGCAGTGGTGTTTAAAGCTTATCATAACGAAGTTTTACTATTTTGGATATCTGAAAGAGGGTCGTGGGACCTATCCGTTCGCTTTTTGTTTTCATTGTGTTTGCGTAGGAGGGTACTTAAATTTATTCATGAAATACTGTGCTTCAAAGTTTCAAGTGCTTCATCGATCAGTAAGGTTTCTAAGGAAGAAATAAAGGTATAATAAGCAAAATGGTAAAATAGTGTGTTTTACTTGAAATGTCCAGGTACTGCTAATAAAAAGCACCCACAGATAGGTGGAATGCTCTATTCAACTTGAGGATTTTGAAATTATAATATCCAAAGTTTGATTTGAATTGGCTAGAATCTTAGATTTTGCCAGTTAAACATGTTTGAGCTATACTGGTACATTTATCCTAAAAAAACTTTGACAAGTTGAAAAGACGCTGAAGTCATAAGCAATCAATGGATGACTCCTAGGATTTGCATGAATGTGAAGCTAACTGTAGGTATGTATATTTTACGTCCAATCGTTAACACTTGTCATTTGATAAGAATTGAATTGCCCGAAAGTATTGTAATATTATCGAGATAGTGTGTGGCAGAGAAGAAGAGTAAACAGGAATATGAAGTACAGGCCATTTCGATTGAATTCTATGACTGCAACAACTTTTCATTTTTTTTCTGAATAAATTTCTGAATTGCTTTTTAATTCTAATTGTTTATTGAAATGCATGAGTTTTATTAATACATTTGAACAAAAACTGGTTTAATAAATGAATTTAGAAGCCAATCGTTTCGTCCAAAAAGTTACTCTTCGTGGAACAAATTTTGGGAAATTCGGCTTTCTGGGTAATTAAGAACATTGATGAAACAGTTGAAGATATGAAAGACTAATTATTTCACTCCAAACTAAACTTTATTAAATAATTATGAGTTCTATCCACACGAAGTTACGGCGAACTGAGTGCAGGAACATACCACTTCATTAATTCCCTAAGTTATAAAACAGAAAGTGCAGCAAGTGATACCATCCAATTATCCGAAAGATGGCAAAATTTTCAATTGTTAAGAATCTGAGTAAATTGATCTTGGAATTTCCTTTGGATGATCAAATTAATTCATTATTTCTTTAAAGATATGGAAGGAACTATGAAACTGTATGAACAAATATCAACTGCACCATGAATTAAGCAGCAAATGACAGTGAAAATCGGTTCTCTTTAACTCATCCCTTTCATCAGCATTCCATTATTTTCTTTTTCTTTTCACAACTTTATATTAGCAATGAATGATGCACTGTTCAGAATCATTTATTTTCTCTTTTTGTTTTTCAAATTTCACCGACCACATGCAAACACGAAAATATTGACACGTTTTCCTCATTTTTCTTAGCAATCATTGAAATGCTCTGCTTTCTAAGAATAAAAAAATATTCAATTAGGTTTTCAATTTTTATTCATTCCTAGTAAATATGTCTTACGAGGCCTATTCTATAAATAGAACAACAAATGCATGCATTTTGCAAAATGATATGAAAACAAAATTACGAAGTGGAAATACATTTGTAATGAAATTTATATATAAAAGTCATATCAGGATGCTTAGAGTAGTATTGTGGGGTGGAGAAAGAGATGATTTTAAATTCAGTAGATAAATGAAGAATAATAAAATTATTTCTTCTGATCCTATCCTACTGTTGTCTTGGCTCATTGAGGCAAACATTGAACTGTTAAATGTTCTTAGTTACTGATGGGAAGTCTTAAGCAAAAAAAAAAAGCACAAGAAAGCATTGATACATTATCATCATCCCTTTATCATTTTCCCTTTTACATCAGAAAGATTAATTAGCATTCTTGTGATAAAACGAAACAGTGATCATAAATTATCATTAGATAAAAAGGGAATCACAGCAACTGCTTGCTCCAAGTTACTTCCACTACTAAACAAATCACCATTGTAATGTGTCATAAATTTCACTCGTCGTAATCTGTACTGATTTGTTGGAGACTGGAAATCAGTTAAATAATGTCTCAATTTTTTAGGCAGATAAAATTGATGCAAGAGCAATAATACATGGTTAAATATTGATTGCTACCGATAATTCACCTTTTCCTGGAGAGGTTCTTTACAAGCTTGAAATGTGCACGCCCACAGATAGGTAGTAATATTTTTCCGGAACCTTTCATTCATAAAACAATAAGTTATCGGATTTGCACATGCACTTATATGCGTCAGTAGTGTTATATACGCATTCGCCCTTCTGTTCCACAAGTGAATCTACAAAGTTTATTTATAATTTGAAAAAGTTTACAGTGATTTATCATAAGAGAAAAAAAACAATTATAATAGTCAAAAGGAGAATCGAAAAAAAGAAAGAGAAAAAGAGAATGACAAGTGTACCGATGGTCGATGTATAAAATTCCTCATTTAAAGTTATGAAATGATTAAATTTTCACGGATCCCACTGACCATCACAAATATAATCTTTAAGGCTCAAGAAAGCATTAAAACTACTTATAACCTCCACTCTTTTAAGTCAGCTAATGAAATTTTTAACTTCATAAAGTCCTTTTTTGAAACGAATTATGTTGATCAGTCACTGGAAGCTTTATACCTGAACGAGATCAGATGTCCTAATTGTAAGCCACCAAATAAAACTCGGTGTCCAACAAATAACAAAAGCAATAACAATGATAATTAACATTCTAATCACACGTCGTTTCGCTTCAATAATTTTTTCCTGAATGAATTTTTCTCCATCAAAATTATTTGCTTTCTCCAAAATGCAAAGATCCGAAGAACAAAGGATAAATTTCGATCACTGAGGACACTGCATTTCGAAACATTTCACTTTTCACAAAAAATAATTATATTCGAAAATGGCGAAAAAATAATTTCAAAAGAAAATATTCTTTGAAATGAAAACCTGACGGTTGCTTCGTAGCATATAACCATGCTTATAATTAGCACTTCCACTAATCGATGACTGGAATTCAGGAGCACTGCTGAAGCTGAAGTTGTAAGATTTCAGTGAAGCTGGAATTTCCCAAAAATCTATCAATCTCATATTCTTTAATAGAGAAACAAATTAGTATGATGCTGATAAAGTGGATGAATTGATAACCTGAAAAGTGACTTGGTTCGAGCATTGTAGTTACAGGGCCTTTTACATGGCACATTACACGTTGCCCTTCGAGCGGTATTTTTCTGTTTCCGATCCTTTACCCAAGCCTGCAATTAGACAAATTCGAGAGAATATAAGAAAACATTTACAAACTATGGAAACCATCTAATTCATTTCAGTTTGAGTTATTCGCAATGATGAATCAAGATAATTGAAGTATTCAAGATTAAAATATTGAACCGCCCAGAATGACTCCTGCAACTGGCAGACAGAATAATTCGTGCATCTGAATGATTCGTGTAACTCAAGTGATACAGTATGAAGTGAAAAAAGTGGTTTATCAATTCGCTGTGCTCTTCAAAGTTAAGCGTAATAAAACATATACCAATTTAATGATTTGATTTTAAGAACAAAACGAATATACTTAAAGGAATTATTCTTCAATCATGTCTGCAATTCTTAGCTTTTTTGATGAATTTCTTGGACATTTCCAAAAAATGAAATGTTCTTCAAACAGTTACAGAAACATGAATCACTAGAATTCTGCGGATGAAAGAAAGAATCGAAAACTTTTCATGTCAAAAAAGTCTAAAATTTCCAGCATGACATATCAGTAGAAGTAGGAATTACGAATCCATTTGCTTGGAATACTTTAACCCATAAAATTTTACTTACAAATTATTTCATGTAAACGATGATTTCATTGATGGAAAAATGTAAGTTAACTACAGTTTAACTTACATCATAATCGATATTGAGCTCCTTACTGTTTTGGTCGGTAAATGATGGAAAAAACCAACTTGAACATAATCTCTTTCGATCTATGATACCTAGTTTATATCACTTATCACCATCATCAACAAAAAAAAAAAAATAGTTCTTGTCTCGGTCTTCAGAAACTTTATTCTTTCAGGAATAAACTAGAATTTTTACGAACAAATCACTTTAAAAAGGCTGAAAATTTGAATATACTTTAAAAAAACTCTTACTTCGACAACATTCCGCTGCATAATTGTGATAGTTTTCTGGTTTTACCTCTACCTGATTGTCTGGATGAAGAGTTTTGATTACCTTGCAATATAAAAGCAACATAATTGTTAGTGGTATGAATAACAGTAGCTGAAATAACATGTCATCGTACTCAGTTGAGGACTACTAAGTTCTCAGTATGGTTATTATGATGACCTTTGAGAAGATAAAATATGAACTATAGACTAACCAGGGTAACATGAATCTGATATAAAAAATCTGTCAAAGGAGTAGCAGTGGAACGACAACTCCAATGTGTTTTGTAAGGAATAGCATCATAAATCACAAGTGCGCCAATATTACTCCCAAATGCAGTAAGCCAAACAAACGATATGAGTGCTAGCAAACGCCGCTATAAAAAAGAAATTATATCGAATGATATAATATGGCCAGTCCATTACTAATGAAATTATTTTTTGTTAGATCCAAAAGATTTTACAAAATCAG